AAGAAAAAGATAAAACAGGTTTTCCTTCTCTTGATTTTCGTTCTAGACTTCTTAATAGGGACACTTTTGTCGTTTTAGTATTCTATTTAACTAAGATTGGATGGCATTATTGATAAGGGAGATTAGTGTAATTTGATCAAATCGAAGAGTTTGATTTGTAGTTTGGACAAACCTCAAAGAAGGTAAATGTAATTAATCCAAATTTTATTACACTAGAAAGTTTAAATACATGCAACATGATCTAATTCAATTTTGCACGTGATGTGTATATAAATATGTGAGTATAAAAAAAAATCTCTATAATAATAGTGCAATGATAGTGCATAATGTTATGAAATAACAACTAAAATGTGGATGTCCCTTTGTATTCCCAAGAGGATTAATTCATGATTTATGGCTATATTATGTATAGAAGTTACAATCCATAAATCTATTCATGTAGTGGAGAAACCGTTTCATAAGTTTCTTTATATTCTTGTAGCAGTGGGTGTTTAATAGGATTTATGTACCTTTGATCTTGTAGTACCTATATATAGAGGTACATTGACACCCTTTGGTAGCACTTTTGTATTTTGTTGGAATACAATAATATCATTTTCCATTGCTCTACTTTTCTTCTAATATCTCCATTCATACTATAGTAGTTTATTTTGTTTTACAACACGTTATTAGCACGAGTCTCTACTTTTGAGCAAAAGGTGAAAACGGAGGCTTTACCTTGAGTAAAAGTGAAACACGATATTCTGACCATATTTTTTTTCGCCAACATCTATCTATTTATTGAGGTAAATTTCTAACCTATAAATTTATTTCAATTTATTATGGTTAACCTTTGAATGATTGCAAAATACAAGTGTCTACTACTGAGCAACTACTAAACAAGAATATATACTCTTTTACATCTTTGAGGTAATATTTCATCTTTTAATTCTACTTATTTATCTTTAAAATTATTTGTTATAAATACTTATATTCTGATGCATTGAGTTTTAGAGATGCTATTATAGAAAATCAATTATATTTGAGGATCTACTTGTCCTTTGAAATATTTAAAGAAAAAGATTCGATCACCTGAAGATGGTCGTTCTTTAACAAAAAGATTTGGCCACCAGAAGATGGTCATTATTTCAAAACTTGGTATGATAAATTTACTTATGGCTGCAAGTACATAATTCTGCTATGTTTAGAATTATTTCTTAGTTGAAAATAATATTCTCTACATATTTCTCAACTATGCTCTTGTAGTAGCAATATTGAGAGAAAATTTGAGAAGTATTTTGTACTTATTGCATGCTAATTCTAGTCTATTCCCAAAAATGAATGCGAGTAAATTTCAATTTATTAGTTATGGTTGTTGCTATGACTATGATTTTGGTAAATATATATTTTACCATGACAAGAGAAAAAGTTATCACTTGAAGTGGGATAATAATGATAAAGGCACGAAAATAAAGGTCCTAAAGATAAATGTCTCGAAGTACATTTGACGAATTAAAATTATAATAGCATTTTCATATGGTCAATTTCTTTAAACGCCCTGAAGGTGTATGATGATTGATTTAATTTATGATAGTAATTGACTTTTCTTCCTGAAGAAGAAATGGATGTTAAATATTTGAGATCAAAGGATTGTGGTGATGATATTTATCCCATAAGAACTATGGTGATAATGATATGTGTCTCGTTAATAAGTGCTACTATATACACTATTTTCGAACAAAAGAGACAAACACAATTAGTGGTAGTGTTTAAGTGATTGAAAGCTCCAGAAGAGCCACTGCTATATTTCTTTCTATAGGAGAAAAGTTTATCATAAATAAAGTACTACTTTTTACCATGTCTCGAAAGAATTATTAAATTTGAATATCCGTCGAAATGGATATCAAATTGAGACATTAAATGAGAAAATAATATAGATTATGTTTAGGAATCAAGTGAGATAAAAGGTTAATTATATTATAATAATCATTCGAGAGAGAAATGGTTATCGATATAGTTGTCTTTATTCTCATTTGATTTATAATCATCACCTGTAGTAAACCAGGAGTTTACTGATCCCAACGGATATATGATTTGACAAAAGTGAGAATATTTGAGAGCTGACAAGTATTTATACATACCCCTTTATATTATATATGGCTCCAAAAGAAATTTAAAATTTATGTCGGATATGAATCACCTTTTACGATTAAATATCGTAAAATATTGATGAGTGATTTATTGAATAATTTATTTATTCTGATGAACTACGATTCCCGACATTAGGGGGAGGAAAAGATCAACCGAAAGGAAATTATTTGAGAAATTGGATTTTCTCGATCCTCATACAAAATAATGTGAACTAGAAGTTCAAAAAATTCTTCATTTGTAGAAAGTTGCAAATCAACTATTAAATATATTTATCGACTCCAGAAGAGTCATTAAACCAACTATTCCTGCAGGAAATACTATGGTTAAAATTGTTGTCCCTGAAGGACATGCATAAGTGCTACAAATAAATTTAAGGCCGACCTACCTAAATAAGGTATAAATTGATTTCAAATATCTCTGGAGATTAAATAAATGTCATGACAAAATTCAACTTCTTGAAGAGGTCGCTCCTCAAGAGCCAACTCCTGAAGAGAATGAAATCATAGAAAATTTAATTGGAACATAATAAAATGTAGCACTTGATATTATAGAAGTTGATAAGGATCACGAATCTGGATCGGTTGATGAATGTCGGTATAGAAATGATTGGCTAAAATCGAAAGATGCGATCCAATCTGAATTGGACTCACTGGTTAAAAGAAAAATTTTTGGACCTGTAGTCCAAACACCTGAAGGTGTAAAGCCAGTAGGATATAAATGGGTATTTGTGAGAAAAAGAAATGAGAAAAAGAAATTGTGAGGTATAAAGCAAGACTTGTAGCCCAAGAATTTTTACAAAAGTTTGGATTTGATTATAATGAAACATATTCACCTGTAGTGGATGCTTTCACATTTAGATATCTTGTGAGTTTTGCAGTACATGAAAAATTAGATATGTGTCTAATGGACGTCGTTACTGCATATTTATATGGAAATTTTGAAAATGATATTTATATGAGAATTCCCGAAAGATTCAACATGCCTGAAACATGCAAATCAAATCCTAAAGATATTTATTCTATTAAATTACAAAGGTCTTTGTATGGACTCAAACAATCTAGACGTATGTGGTATAACCGCCTCAATGAATGTCTAACTAAAGAAGGTTATACTAGTGATCCAATATGTCCATGTGTTTTTATCAAGAAAAATGGATCAAAATTTGTGATAATTGCTGTATATGTTGATGATCTAAATTTGATTGGAACTCCTGAAGAGATTCAAAATAGTGTTGAATATTTGAAAAAGGATTTTGAGATCAAGAATTTTGAAAAAACAAAATTCTACTTTGATTTACAAATTGAGCATTTGAAAAGTGAAATTTATATCCACCAAACTGCACATACCCGGAAGGTATTAAAGCGGTTTTATATGGATAAGACACATATATTAAGTATTCCAATAGTCGTCAAATCATTAGATCCTAATAAGGATCTTTTTAGATTTCGAGAGGAAGATGAAGAGATACTTGGTCCTGAAGTACCATATCTCAATGCAATTGGCGAAGAATATTGGAATGCGACGATTAAAAGATCTCAAATGACATTTGCATCAAGGGGAGAAATTATTACACAAGAATAGTGTACTCTTTTTCCTTCACTGTAGTTTTTGGTCTCAATGGGTTTTTTCCTAGTAAGGTTTTAACGAGGCATATTCTTTGTGTAATGGACATCCAAGGGGGAGTGTTATGAAATAACAACTAAAATGTGGATGTCCCTTTGTATTCCCAAGAGGATTAATTCATGATTTATGGCTATATTATGTATAGAAGTTACAATCCATAAATCTATTCATGTAGTGGAGAAATCGTTTCATAAGTTTCTTCATATTCTTGTAGTAGTGGGTGTTTAATAGGATTTATGTACCTTTGATCTTGTAGTACCTATATATAGAGGTACATTGACACCCTTTGGTAGCACTTTTGTATTTTGTTGGAATACAATAATATCATTCTCCATTGCTCTATTTTTCCTCTAATATCTCCATTCATACTATAGTAGTTTATTTTATTTTACAACACATAAATAATTTATCCAACTAATACCAGCATTCAAAACAATGGCGAGACACATCATGTTATTATTAGGCTTAAAAATTTTAAAATATTCAAAATTGCTCTCTATTTGCACACCCTAAAATCTTTAAAGTTCTCTTTTCTAAGTGCATTTCCCCCCAACATCTATAAAATTTTCTTTTCTAGTGCATTGCCCCCTTCTCTTCCACTCACCAACCTCAAACACTTAAATATTTCATAATTGTTACTATTTACAGGAGTGTTAAGAACGTAGTATATTGATCCAAATATAAACTTTGTTGATGTTTCTAAACACAAATTTTTAGAGTGATTTTTATTACTAAATTTGAGCATAATTTAAACTTAAAAACATGTATTATATAGAAAAAAAAAATGTATGTTTTACATAGGCTTTCATTTCAGTTAATTCACTGTTACTATACTCTACATACTACCGGAGATTGACCTTGACCTTAGGGTTGTGGTTTCGCCAGTAATTCAAAATGATCTCTATTCACAAGAAGAAAAAATGATACTATTGAAATTAAATTTGTAGAGTGATTTTTATTACTAAATTTGAGTATAATTTAAACTTAAAAACATAAATTATATAGGAAAAATGTATGTTTTACATAGACATTCATTTAATTTAATTCACTGTTACTATATTCTACCCCGACCTTGATTCAAAATGAACTCTACTCGCAGCAACGAAGTACGACACCATTGAAATTTGAAGCGTCCAAATTGGTCTTAGAGAGAATGAACAACGAAATAGAATTTATCAAAAAATATGAGGGCTTTAATGTACCACGTGCTCTGCCCCTCTGAGAGAATCCAAGCCGATCCAAGTCAAAACCAACATTTGGTAACTAGACTGGGGTTTTAACACAATATACACTGCCGTTGGTGACACCATGCCAAAGCCACCGCAACTTCCACCAAAATGAGGCCTGCTAAAGCCTTAACAACAATCCCAATAGCATCATTCTTCACCGGAACTACAAAACCAAGTCAAAGTTTCAAGCGGGTTCCTCCATTTCATCGTCATAGTATCCGATTTTCGGTGCCCCTTTTCACGAGATCAAAATCTTTTACCACCCGTCGGTATGCTCACAGTTCAGCTCCCGAAGTTGCAGCAGAATTCAGTTCTGGGATGCTTCCTGACTCACAAGGAAAGATTGAAAAGCTAGAAGCAAGTGTAGAAAAGGTGATGGTTTTGATTAATTTGTTTCTGGTTAATGCTAGTTCAGTTATTAATTAATATCATTTTGGTTGCAGGTTATATATGGTTGTCGTTTCTTTACTATCCTTGCAGTATGGGGATCTTTGGTGGGATCTTTTCTTTGTTTTATCAAGGTATACAGTATTCTGCAGCTTGACTTTTCTTTCTTTAAGTTATGATATGGATTACTTTTAATTTTTTGCCTCTTATTAATGAATTTTCATTCTCAGTTCACAAACCAGCTTTTTCCATGGTACTAAATATCATTTGTTCATGATAGTCAATTGGATGTGCTACTTTCAGTGGACAGGAATTATTATACGTAGTAGAAAACTTTTGATAGTTCAAAGGGAAATAAAATATATGTAGAGTCAATAAATCGGTAAATTGAAGTTTAAGGACTTATTGGGAACATTTGAGGCGATATCTTGTTCATTGCGCAAGTAATAAAGGAGCAATACTTGGTAATGTCCGGTTGATAAAGTATTGGGATGAAAATAGTTCTGATAACTTAATCAAAAATTGAGTGTGCCCAAGAATTAATTTCCACGGAAGTTATAGCATATGCTTGAATTTTAATTGTTAGGATGTGTAATATTATACGTCCTAGATGCAGGAATAGACATCTTGATGCAGTGATTTAGTTGGTGATAAGAGCAGGAAAGTTGAACTATCTAACTCTTGCTAAACCTTTATGTTAAAGTGCTTAATAATTTCTGTACTTCAGAAAGCAAGTTTGGTTGTAATTTCTATAAAAGAAGTACAAATTTGTCTAGGTGCAATATCTTTGTATGAAACATTTTATTGAGACTGGAAAAATGCATTTATGCATGTAATCTTTCTTTAGCTTTACATTCCATCCCTCTAGTAAACCTGCTCTGTGCGAATTTCTATTCTTCTTCTTCTTACTATTACCTTTTCTCTTTTAACGGAAAACAAGCATTTTTATGCTACCTACCTCTTCATTTGAGATTTTATATTCTCTAGCTCTTCCTTTTGTCAACCAACCAGTTCCAGTTCCAACTGCTAAGAATTGTTGATATTCATCAAAGGTGAGAATATATAAGTGATGAGCCACAAGTTAATGAAGTTCTTCAAAGATGAATATTTCTTGATTGTTTGTGTTGAAGGAGCTGAAAGGCCTAGTGGTTTCAATTAGAGAACTGATGGAGTTTTCTATTGGCTATGGCAAACAATAATTGCCTTAGTTGCAAATGATTGATCATCTAATATCAACTTTCTCTAAAGATCTTCAGGATTCTAGAACATGATGATAGTCAAGGCATTGCATCTGCTTGACCTATTGCTGGTAGAAAATTTTTCTTTTCTATCTCTGTCACAGTCTGCTACAGATAGTGTACTAATTTTATGTAGCCTTTTTCATTCATTACAATTTTATGGTCTGTCAGATTGGGTACTTGAAAGATGGATCTTTTGTCTATTTCTTTCAACTCCGATGGACGGGAAACTTAAAGATTAACTAATTAGCATTAAGCAGGGATAGAAACCTTTGGTAATTTTCTTTTCTTTGGTAACCATATCTCTACATGCCACAAAGGAAGAGTGATTAATACCTTTCTAATATCTGTGGATTGAAAAATACAATTTGATGCCGTACTAGGCCCTTGTATTACACTGCCAGGCAGTTACTACCGCACTTGTTAGGGACAGAGGATTTGAAGCACATAGTTGTTAGGTGTGGTTAGCTACACAATTTACCAAGTCTTTAAGAAGCTCTTGGCCGTTAAGACTAGCTCTTTTCATCATAGCTTGTGTATGCATGTACATTCATGTGTTCATAAATTGTAATAGGTTGAGGGCTTTGCAGTGAAGGGAACATACATTCTCGAGTTTATAATGCTGGTTGTGCTATCTTTCATGTGAAGCAGCTCTACACTGGCTGGATAATCCTAATGAAATCTACATGGAATCTCTAGAGATCTAGTTCCCTTCATGTCTTGCTTCCTTCGAATCTCATGTCTCTACATTCTCCTGCCTTTTGATTCCTCAAAAGATCTTAGAAGTATGTTCTCAAATGAATCTTACCAGCTAATTGCTTCACTAACCAATGTCAATCTTTATGACCCTTGGACAACACTATATATTAAATGAGGTTTGTTAATCATTAAGAAATGTTCAGTTCATAGTATTTTCTGTATTTCTTTGAGTCACAACCCATGCAGCTTTTATGTGAGAAAATTCTTTGAACTTGTCCCTTATGAATATGGGATGGTTTCTCAATTATATAATACCAAGGCATTCATCTAGCAATATTTGTCTCCTGATCTGAAGGTAGGAAATTAAAATTGCTTCTTTCACTTTAGTCTGATGAAAATCAATTTGGTTGTCCTTAGCAAGTGGTGCTATTATGCGCACAAGACAGGTAGACCCTTAGTTCAATGAAGTAAATTTGAGTGTCCTCAGCAAATATAGGACATTACACCATTGATTTGCATTTTTTGCTGATAGAAATAGGTGGAATCCTTTGCAAGATTGTCAAGCTGTCTGCTTACTTGCAGGGTTGCAGTTATGTTGTGGCCTCATTCCAAGAATACTTTGTCAACCGAGGGAAGGTGATGTTTTCGCTGGTTGAAGCCCTTGGTATGTCAGAAAATTAACTTTCAGATTCAATCACAGCAGTAGCAGTTGTTCCTTTTTCATCTGTTTCATTCTAGTAAATCCTAGATATGTTACTTCTCCGTTTAGTGGCTCTTTGTGTAAGTTAAAGTTGTCTGTGTGGGTACATTTTTGAAACCTGTTTTCCCAAATTCGTTTCCAAGCTTTTGAGCAATTTTTAGTAATTGTGGTGGTAGTTGTTACTATTCTATGTGCTTTTAAAACCTGTTAGATGTGTCTATATATTCTCTTTTCCCCTTATGGAATAAGTATCTATTCAGAAAATATCCTCTGAACTTTCCCATGTTTTTTACATTAAGGCTGTAAACTATTCATTTATTTAATGTTTGCTCTGCTAAATTTGCTGATGACAATTTTCTGATCTCACTCCTTTTTGATTTGCTTATTCAGATGTATATCTACTAGGGACGGTGATGTTGGTTTTTGGAATGGGTCTCTATGAACTCTTCATCAGCAACCTTGACAAAGCAAAATCATTTGCAGATGAAAGAGTTCCACACAGATCAAATTTTTTTGGCTTATTTACTCTGAAGGTCTGTCTAAACTTTCTCCTTCTGCAGCTTGATGATCACCTTGCTTGGCTATCATCTTTTTATTGAAGTACCATAAAGTATTCATCTTATTGCTGATTCCATACTAGTTGACTGGATAAGCCGCTTAAAAATTTAAAATTATTTCAGCTTACATTTGTGAGCCAAAATCATAATTGTTCGCAACATTGGATGAATTTGTTTAAATTTTCTTACATTCTTTAACTTTTGTGCGTAATTTTTCATTTTCTTATTTCTCTTCATCTAAAGCACATGCAGTCCTATCTGAATTTCTTAAAAAAAAAAAAAAAAGAAAAAAAAAAGAAAGATTCATTGCCATCTTTTTCCTTTTCTTCCTCATGTAAGTCAAATGGTTATATCCTTTGGTATTGCCAACAGATCAAGACAAAGATTTCTTATTTATTTCTAGTAAAGGTCCTATAGGCAAAAACATGTTTTTGTGCGCTATGCAGGCTGTTCCTACGATCAGTGAGGTTATTAGAAAAGGGAAGTGCAAATTTTGAGCCTTACACCTTGATTAGTTTGGACAATAACTGCTTTGATAGCTTTGTGGTTAGAGCATCATGTCAAAGTGCATGAAATCAGAAGCAATTGTAGATCCTGCTGTTAGTGCTGGGGCCTTGAATGACTGGCACAGGGTTCAAATTTCTTCGATGAACTTTTGATGCTCATTGATCATGCTTTGTATGAAATGTAAAGGAAAAAAAAATTAAAATTGATACCTTTGCCTAGCTGAAGTTTAGGCATCCTATTTTGTTTATTGAACACATTTTTTAAGTACGTATGTTAATTCATTCATCTTTGATCATATTCAGGAACGTCCACAATGGTTGGAAATTAAATCTGTCAATCAGCTGAAAACCAAACTTGGCCATGTGATTGTCATGCTACTTCTTATTGGTTTCTTTGACAAGACTAAGAAGGCTGCTATATTATCGCCTCTTGATTTGCTTTGCTTCTCAGCCTCTGTATTTTTGTCATCTGGCTGCCTGTATCTGCTATCAAAACTCAATCACTTAGAAGAGTAAGCATTTTGCATATTGCCAGTTGTCCCCTAGAACATGCTGTTAGTAAGACCTTTTTGAAGCTTGTATACTTAAGAAGCAGTTGTTCTTATTTCGATCTGCAATCCATAGTAACTGCTGGTCATGCTGATGCTCCAGAGCCTATAATTTCCTGTAAATATATATCTCATGCTACATATACTTTCCACTCGTCTTATGTCTCAGCTAATGCTCCTAAATCTGTTGCCAGATCTATTTTATCGTAATCATTTGTTTCATGTGGTTAAAGTAATGAGTGATGCTACACTATTATGTTGCCAAACATGCATTAGATAATTTTTAAAAAAATGTTGGCCTAACTTTACCAAGAGATTTGTCAGTTACCTTGAAAAAGGTACTGGTTCACGATCATGCTCAAAGATATGTGCTTCAATATTGGAGATGTAGAACCTTAAGCTGAACTCGAGTTCTGTTCTTTCGGTTTGGATCTGTAGAAACGAAGCAGGTTCATTTGCTTGATAATCCCATTATTGTTTGTTCTACTACTGACCTGATCTGAAACTTAAGTTCATCAATAAGGGGTTGACGTTATTAGCTTTATTCGTGAAGTTCAGTATCTGTATGTTAGCCAGGACAATAGCTTACCCGCATTTTGTGATTACTCCTGTGCCCTATAAGCCACTTAGTCACGGCCCTGATACCCTCTATGCGTGATAATTATTCAATCATCATGGCCCTGATGCGTGAGTGTTGGATAGATATTCAATCTTCATTCCTTTGCCTCAAGTCTTCTCTTGCATGTAAGATAGCATCAGAAGGAAGCCTTTTCTTTGTTGCATGACTTTTTTGTGGCTATCACTGAACTTGTTTCCTTGCAAAGTTTTGATCCAGATTCCTCTATCTTTTGTAAGTACTCCTACGAACTTGGATCTCCTACCTGTACGATTGTTTTAACTGTTCTTTTCCATGAACCAGCAAATTTCAGGGATGTTGAGGTGCATTTTCTATGCCTTGGGAAAGGAAAAACTTGATTCTTGTGGTTTATCGAATCTGTATTCGTAGTCTTATTAACTCCAAAGTCTTGATGGTAGTAGTGAAAAGTTTACTCTAGCACTAGTGTCTCTGACATAGCTATTATCTATGCTGTATCAAACCGGCTTGTGTAAAGGATAGCAAAACAAGATGTATATCAGGATATTTTTCATTATTAAGACTGAACTTGAGTTTGCATTTCACAAAATTCCTCAAAACAGTAACCTCAACAATTTAGGTCACAGTTGTAACTGAGTTTTGACTGAACTGTGACAGAAGGGAGCAGGGTAGGGACAGTTCAACCGTTTTTGAACAGTGTAACGGGTTTGTTTGGATAGGGTATTATTTGAAATATTATTTGGAATAATTACTGTAACACTTTTTGTGATGTGATGTATGTGAGATAAAAAGGTGATTGAAAATATAAAAAGGTGCGTTGAAAAATATGTTTATGATGCAAGCAAAATATTATTTGGGATAAGTTTTGTATCCAAACACTCCCAACATTTTTTGAACGTTTTGTAACTCTATGTAAGCTTCTTGTATATCCTAACAACAGAGGTGCGATATTTTGTTATTATTCATGTGAGTCCCATATGTAATAATTGTATTTCTGTTTTTAAGTTTTACAAGTAATTCACGTAGTATTACACCTTATTCAAAAAATGTTATATCATTCAAAAAGGTTGTTGCCCTTGGTTCGAGACGGAATTATTGTGTTACATCTCCACATATATACTTTGATTGTTGAGATTCAATGCAACACCAATATACCATCGTACAATCAACTAAAAATATGCGAAAAAAAAAAAGAGTTAAAATAGTACATTCGGCTATAAAGGTAGTAGCTGTGATCTTGACCATGAATCGTGTCGAAAAATTACTTTATGTTGCAAGATATGATTTATCTAGACAATTGTCTCAAATTATAGCATGTGGTGATCTGATCAGTCCCTACTCGCTGTTAACATATCGAAGATTTCATCTGGCGATTGGGATCCCTAATCTCTTGCAAGGCGTCCAAAATCTGCTAGTAACACGGGTTGCTTTTATCTCATAACTTCTGAGTCCTATTATTTTTTTAAAATTTCTTCCAGCTTCTGTCACCTTTAAACCATGGTAAATCATATTAGCTGCCAGACAAATGTTTCATGTCAACTCAGCAAGTATTATAATTGAAGGCATTGCAACCCATGAATAAAAACCAGAAAGAAGTCTGATTCCCTTTTTCCGCCCTCTATTCCAGCCAGTGGGTTCGCCTTTTCGAAACTCCTGATTTTCCATTTCTGGGTGCTGGGATTCCCTCATCTGAAGTTTTGATTGAACCGTATGCCGGTCCAAAGATTCTCAGAACTCCATTCACAGCTCAAAATTCAGGAACCTGGGTGTAACAAGTGTTGATTTCATAAAAAACTTGCCACTTGCCGTATTTAACTGATATTCTGGATGTTTTATGCTTTGCAATTTGGACATTTACAAGAAATGGAATCAGAAATCAACTTTTGCTTTTCGAAGTGTAACCTATGGGTCTGTCTGGACTACTTCAAAAGGTGTGAAATAATGTAAATCAGTGGGGGCCAAAAAAAGGACGATTCCATAGATACAACCTCGCGATCACTGGTAGCAAACTGAAGAAATTTTTATAATCGGCCCCAAATCTGTAATTCCATTTTTTTTTATTATTCTAGTACCATTATTAAATGTATCATTTACTGCAATTTGTTATTTTATCTAAGAAATGAATTGTTGCCTGTCGTCATCATTCATCAAGATTGAAAAAGGTTACTTTTTTATTTATCCTAGAGAATGTCGTTAGTAATAGTGCTGGACTTTTCTTCCCTTTTGTTGCATGAACAATTAAAAGACTTTGGTGAATTTAAAAATATCCTTGTACTGTATAAGAACGAGTTTAGGATAAAAGTTATTCTTTCAATTTCAACCGCAAAAGTGGCGTAATTTGGGGATGGTTAGATTGTTTGTTTGTAGGTGCAGCACGGAGTACAATTTGTGGTGCTTGGTGTTGTGATAGATTTTAAAAAATGAGGTGGTTTGTGTTCACGTGGAGTGAGTATTTTGAACATATTAATTAGGGTTAATCACATTTTATCCTCTTAAAAAATACCTCATTTTTCAGTTTACCTCCTAACCTTTAATTTTGCTCACTTAACCCCCCTTTAGAACAAAATTGCCTTTACTTTATTTTGACTTTTCATTTACCTTAGTTTCCTTTCTTTTATTTCTTTTTCTCTTTCTTCTTTATTTAATTTTTCATTTTTTCTACAAAAATCTTCACGTTAATGATTAAAATTAAAAAAGAGAAATTGCAGAGATCTATCTTCTCCTTAAATGATTAAAAAAAATTCAAATCACTTTCCTAAAATACAATTTTTTTAGCCTTTCAATTCTTTTAATTTTGGATTTTCCTCTTTCCTTTAAATAAAATGGAATTTTCATCTTATGATATTTTCTTGAGAATAAAATGAGAAACTAGAAAGGAAAGAGGAAAACCCAAAATTAAAAGAATTGAAAGGCTAAAAAAATTGTATTTTAAGAAAATGATTTGAATTTTTTTAAATCATTTAAGGAGAAGATAGATCTCTACAATTTCTCTTTTTTAATTTCAATCATTAAGGTGAAGATTTTTGGGGAAAGAGGAAGAATTAAATAAAGAAAAAAGAGAAAAAGAAATAAAAGAAAGGAAAACAAGGTAAATGAAAAGTCAAAATAATGCAAGGGCAATCTTGTCTTAAAGGGGGTTAAGTGAGCAAAATTAAATGTTAGGGGGTAAACTGAGAAATGAGGTATTCTTTAAGGGGATAAAATGTGATTAACCCTTTTAATTATTTTGGTTGTCCTTTTAGCTGTGGGTACAAGTGGTACTAGCCTTTGTGTGGCTCTAATTACCTTAATGTCCTCCGACTGTAATTAATATGGGGGAACATGTTTTAGTAAGCAATTAGTGAAAGGAAATACTCGCTCCTTCCCACTTTGATAGTTCTAGTTTTTTTTTCATACAGTTTAAGAAAAAGTAATTAACTTTGTTAGAACAATCAATTTAGATAGTTATTTTTCTAAAATACCCTCACATTAATTAGAGTACAACTTTATGGGAACTTGAATTGATAGTAAAAAAAGAATCAATTCTTATTAAATGGGGTATGTTTATAGTGACAACAACTTTTATTGAATAAGGGTATTTTAAAAAAATTAAAATACAACTACATTCTTCAATTAGAAAATGGACTACAATTTGGGACAGACGAAAAAAAAAAACAGAACTATCAAAGTGGGACGGAGGGAGTAATAAAGAGCGGGTATTTTGAGAGGTGGATTTCCAGAAATGGGATGGTTTCGATTCACCAATGGTGATGTGAGTATTTCGGGACGGTGCAATTATTTTGGTTGTCCTTTTATTGGGGGTACAAGTGGTACTAACTTGTGTGTATGGCTCTAATTACCTTAATGTCCTCCGACTGTAATTAATATGAGAGGAACAAGCTTCAAAAGGCAATTAGTGAAAGGAATTAATAAAGAAGGGGTGTTTTGGGAAGTGGATTTCCAGAAATGGGGTTGTTTCTATTCATTAATAGTGGCATGGGCATTTCAGGAATGTGGAATTATTTTGGTTGTCCCTTTAGCTGTGAATACAAGTAGTACTAGCCTTTTGTGGCTGTAATTACCTTAATGCCCTCCAACTGTGATTAATATGAGAGCAACGTGGTTTAGTAGATAATTAGTGAAAGTAATTAATAAAGGATGGGTATTTTGGAAACTCTTGTTTGTTGTACCGGACTTTTTAGCAATTGGATAATTCATAACAGCCTTTGTCTTGCTGCAATTACTTAAAGTTAGTGAGATGCAAATTAAACGTTGAATGACGTGGATTTTTTTTTTTTTTTGTGATAATTGGAGGACGTGGATTTTGAGCAAATTACTGAAAGGAATTAATGAGAGTTTGATGTCTGAGCATCGGTTTTATGAATGGACTTTGTTTCGCATTCTTCCGATATGCTCTTTCGGCTTCTAGTGAATGCGTAATTCTCTTGCTGTTTAATCTGGACTTCATCATGGTTCTTGGTCGTCGAAGTCATTCATGGTGATTCAGCTTCCGGTGGGTTTTGGTTTTCCTTAGTGATTTTCACATTTTGTGATTTATTTTGTTAAATTCCAATATTTGTTAAGAATTGAGTAGTTGCATTATCAAATTGTATATTGAT